CTTTATGATGGAGATTTTTTTAATCCATCAGTTACCTGCACTCTGGAAAACTGTGAGGAGGCTAAAGCTGATGATGTATTGAGGGAAAATGATGTATATACCCAGTGCTGGACTGGAAATTGTTTTTGCCAAACCTAGCAGTTTCAAAGAATTGTTTCAGTAACTTTGAATAGTTTTGTCCATCTTTTACTATTAAAGTAAGATCTATTGACCTAGGAAATAGACAGAAATCTGCCCAGAGAAACTCATCCTACCTCCAATGTCAAGCTAAAAAAGATAAAGTGACAAGAAGTAGAAATACTGTCTGCACTTGTCGTAGTATGCATTTGTTCCCGCTTTTGAAATGATTGCCCAGTAAAACTGCAAAAAAGTCAATGCTCAGGAAAAAAAGGTCTGTTAAACCTTTACTGGCAAGCCTTATACCCTTGATTCATTGCCTGTTTCACTAATTTGTAGTTGTCATAACTCTGTGGATAAGAATGGAATTAAACAAGAATGATTCTGAAACAATGTAATCATGATCACAGACAATAATCAATCTTTTTAGTCCTAGAAAGCTGCTACGAGACTGGCTGTCTGGCTGGCTCCTGATGTTTTCTATGAGAAGGCAAAACCAGAGAACTGAAAAGAAGATTTTAGGGGTTAAGGCCATCTCTAACAAATACAGGATAGGTGTGGGTGAATCTTCCTCAGCTGGGTGCCTAATACCTGTCAGTGCCACACAGAGGGATTTCCATGGGATATACTCAGAGTGGCCACGTGAAACTGCAGCACCCTTCAAGCTTATTATTTTGTTCTTTTTACAAGATTAGCTGTCTCAATAAGCATGGAGGGACTTCTTGATGCTGGGTCCCCACATATTAAATATTCTGAAACAAACTTCAGAAATCAGTGGGGTTTTTTGTCAAGGAGTTGCCTTGCATCAGTTGTAGTACTGAAAAACTTCAAACAGTTACTTGCCATCCATCTGCATAATTGTAAAGCAACACCAAATTAAATTTGTTCCAGGACCTGTTATTTGTGGAGGAGGAATTGCATTTTATTTGCAATAATTTCTTTACTAGATAGAATCTTAAAATGTACATACGTAAATGTATTTACTCCTCCCAAAATGCAAATAATGGCCAGTTTCTAAGGAAGGAAGAGCATCCTCTGTTTACCTGTTCAATAGCTAAAATCCCCCAAACCTCACCTTTCTACACTCTCTGAATCAATCTGGGACTGAAGCCAAAGTCACCTGCTATATAAGAGCGACAAAGCACAGATGAACTGCAGTCCTGATCAAGTTTAGACCTAACATCCTTGTGCCAAACTCCACTCAAGATGGGGTTTGGCAGGGGGATATTGCTACCACAATGGGCTTTCCTGTTAGCAGTTTGCTGTATCCATCAAATAGGTAAGAAATCTTCTTTTTTATTGGGAAAAGAAAAAATACTCTGTTTAGACTAGCAATACATTTTAAACAACTGTACTAAATGATTTGTATAAGAGGTGGCTGATTTCTTTATATATTTTCATTTGAAGTGTCTGTCTATTAACTGAACCAATTTAATATTGACTAAACTTCTATATACTACTATAACTACATATGGAAAGTAGCCTTGAAGATCAAATTCAAAAAAACTCTTATTGATGTCTTAAAATGTCAGCTTTTCAGTGTCCCATATGCCTTAAAAAAGCATTTTATTCCTGTTGCATTTTGTATTAGAATTCATTATGATTTTTATAGTTCTTATGAAATCTAAGCCACCACATTTTCTACTTGCTAGATTAGACCACTGGTCAATCTTTTTCAATATTTTGTCATCTATCAGGGGCTAACACCAGATTTCTCAACATTTCTCGCAACTTCTTTAGCAAAAGAAACCAGAAGGGAATATTCATATGGCAAGGAATTTCAGTAACTAGTAGTGCAGTTACTAATTTATAGTACCCTATGCAAAATATTTATATAAATTACAGATACTGAGTAGGAGCAGGACAGGGAGATTTATGTGAGACCACAATCCATTATTTTGGATGGGGTTTTTTAACCTTTCAATGTTACATGAATCAGGGTTGGTCTTGGCATTTTTTATTAATATGAGTAACCCTGTTAATTTTATGGAACCAATCAAATTGGAGCTACTTGCAGGAGTAGAGGCTTCATAAGTTGGTCCTGTTCATGTACAGTAATTTCTGGCCTGTCAGCTGACATTTTAAAATCTGCAGATTGCCTAGGTAAATTTATCTTGCATGTAATTTTCAAAACATTTTGAAAAGTGCAAATATAATTTAAGACTGCTTTATAGTTTGTGAAATAAACACTGAATCAGTGGCCAGTTGGTCTCTATTGTGCTTGAAAACACAGCGGTCTCGTAGAGTATAAACTTCTGTTTGGAGTTATGCAATGTCGGTCAGAAATGTTTGCAGCCATTCATGGAACAAGAAAGTTATTTCTCCTGTGCAGTGCTGATCTGATAAACTGCTTTGACAAATGAGTGGTGATTAGGCAGTGCCCAGCAAACACCTCTTTATTTGAAACACACCCAGTGGGAAATATTTTCCGATATCCGGACTAAAGAATAATGGTCCCATCCCATTCCATCTCCGCAAATATCATGTGACTGCCTTTATATTTCGTGTCAAATATTAACTTTTATAAACTGGTGACAACAATAATTACCAGCTGGATATAGACTTTGCAGGATGCATCCAAATATTCTTAATAACTAGGTTAGTTTCCTAATTATCAAATAGTAAATTTCTTACAACCGAGAGACACTTATTTTTATAACAGTAAACAGAGTGGAATTGTGTAATTGTAATTGCTAAACAAACCACTGCAGGTAGAATTTCCTTGGGAATGATGTATTTGCTAAGTAAACAAAAGCTCCTGCTGTTTCCTTGAGAAAAATTAACAGAACAAAATACATATATAGATCTATTTTGCTCTGTTACGAAGTTTCCCACACTAGAATAAACAAACCTTCTGTGATTCTATGCCTGCTGAGATTCCTATGGATGTGTAATGTGAAAGCAAACTTCAGCCTATTATGTAGACTTAAAGAGGTATTTCTCTTACCTGATCTTTATCAATTTTTTCACCAATTATATTTTCATCTAATATAACCAGTATAAATTATAATTATGTGAATACATTTACCTAATTTTATTATCTATGATATTCAAAGATGAGCAGGAAATGGAAAATGCTTGAACTCTGTCCCACGTTACTTTGCACATCACTAGCAGTCAAGCACAAAGTTAAATGAGAAAAGAATTAAAAGCTTAAAGCTGAAAGAAACTACATACACTGCAGCAACTTCTAGCTGTGGTGGGGTTGACAGAACCCTCTGCTGCAAAGCCAGTAATCTCTTGGGGTTCTTTGTGAACTCTTCTCACCTATTGTATAAGGAAAATGGGGGCCTAACTTAGGGCAAACTCCACAGGCAGTTCTGCTTTGAAGGAGAAATTCTCTAGACACCTACAGTGCTCATTCACATAATCCAGGTAAGGATTCAGGTATTAGTCATTTCATCACTTAAATCCTGTGAGGATTTAGACTTGGCAGGTTAAAGGTACCTCTTAGTCAATCTGTTACATGCACAGTTATCACATCCTGACTGCATTCAGTCTTTCACAAAATAAAGTTGTAGCCCTTCAACTTTTACAAGAAATGCCTGATATATTTACTTATAAAATCCAAGACGTTAGAATGTCAAACCAGGAGGTCAGGGTCAGTCTTTTTCTAGGAATCCAAGCATTCCAAAGAATACTTGTCATCTCTCAAAAGTCTTTGCTTCAGGTGTTGAAGCAAGAACCCTTGGTCAAATAGCTTTATAGCATGATGCTTAAGGTTTTCTGCAGAGAAGATGTGATTTTGAACAATCTTTGAGTAGATGGGTAGAACAGGAAGCCTGGTTCATCAGGTTCCTTCTGGGTTACTGCTCAGGCTATGGCCCTTGCACTGTCCCTCAGAGGGACCTCCTTGAACCCAGCTGTAAAACAAATCTACGTCCGTGATGGAGGCTTCCCATCTGCTCCCTGAAAAAAGGCCCTGTGCTCAGACACTAGAGAAACTGTCATAAATATCCGCAGCCATTATTGGATGAAGCTTGAAGCCCCTTGATTCTTTTAACCACTTCCATGCTTTTTCTTATAACCCACCTTCTACACAATAATTTTAATAAATTATTTGCCTGCATTTTGTGAATTCCTCCTGAATTGTTTCACATATTACTGAGATCTAGTGCAGCAGTGAAATAAGGGGTGTTATCCTGTCATTAGAATCTCTTGCAGTGAATTTTGAGAGAAACACAGAAAGCAGATATATGTTATTTGGATTACAATTTGTTGTAAAGCATATTACAAAATATATATGTTATTTGGATTAGAAACTTTGAGTATTTGCAATAGAATGTCTCTTTCTATAATTGCATTTCAGCTTTCTTGAGGAGCCTGTTTCATTTTCTCTGATAAGATAAAGGATACTCTCCCCTTTGTTTTATGGAGTTTTATCTGGGTCCTTTGATCCTAGCTAAATGCTTTGCTTTAAAAGTTCAGGATATTATTCTTAATATGCTTTTCACATTTTTTTTCACAGGAGGTCAGATTGGAATCCAAATAGGAAGTCAGTTCTCTGGGGGTCTTCTACAGAAACAGAATGGTACATTTATTTATGCTGTATATTTGTATTTATTTGCTACATCCATACTGAATAATAAAAATGCCTTAAATAAAAACCCTCCTTAGCATATTGCCAGTGGTTCCAGATGAAAAGTAATGCGTATCTCTCTCTAAGAAGAGCAATATATTTACTAGACACCAGTTACTAAGTACACAGACATTATACAGTATGGTTATATTTGTATAATCATAGTTAACTAAGAAAATAGATGTGTTTGCAGAGGCTGTGTGCATATCTGCATGAACATGTACATATAACACCAAAGTGATGTTTGGTTCCTTTTAAAAAAAGGAAGTGAGACCACTTTGGCCTGCTGTGAAATCAGTGGCCAATGTCGGGTAACCAAGAGGGCAACCCATCCTCCCTGACTTTTACCATGTAATGATTTGTGTCTGTCCTGTACAACCAATGTGTGGTCATTTTGAAGAATTTTCATCACCTTAACAGAAAAATATAATACAGAGAAAAGGTGATAATTAAAGTTTTTCTTCCCTCAGAAAGAGGAGGTGTAATGAGAAGGAAACAATGCTTTTGTAGCAGTAAGAAGCTAATTTAGTACAGCTTAGACTTTTGTATTGTTCCATGTCTCTGAAGAATTCCAATATTCTAATGAAGCATAGTTTCGCAAAAGGGTCAAAGTTACCAAGTAAAAAATGCAGATCATCACAGCTGAAGGTAATTTCTTATGACTTAAGTATCCTGAGCTCAAATTTTACTATCTACTTTTAACCTGTGTAAAATAAAACAGGCTTAGCATTGTTTCCTTGGGTCCGGCATATTAACTCCCTAGTCCTTCCTGGGTCTATCCTACATGCAAATTTAGGTATTGTTATGCTAGTTTTTGATTTCTTTCTTATTTCTTTTCTAGCTTCTTTCGGAATTTCATCTAGCTTCAACATCTTCCCATCACTGCTGACAAATGTAGCAATAACACGTAAGTAAAGGAAACTAAGTGTATTCAGTAAGTGTTCAGTTTTAGGGGGTATAGACAGAAGACTTTGATATAAATGGGGAAAGGCACTGATAAAGGAAACCATGGGTAATTCAGAGGAGAAACATGGTGATTAGAAATAAACTGTTTTCTTAGCTGAAGTGAAGGTGACTAATTAAGCTCTAGCTGAGCATAACTGTAACCATTTGCAGGGTATATGAGTAATAGATATGAATGATGAATAAATACACAGCTCTATAGTGGTTAGATAGAAAACAATAAATGGAGCTAGACAGGCAGAAAACATTCCGTGAGAAAAGCTTTGGACAAGTTGATTTCCCCATGTGGAGGCTGGGGATTTTTAAGTCATTTTTAACAGCCAGTCTTAATTCACAGCTGCTAATCCTGCTCACAATGGCCGTGTGTGCAGCACGTGGGGCAACTTCCACTTCAAGACCTTCGACGGGGACATATTCACCTTCCCTGGGCTCTGTAATTACGTTTTTGCCTCCCACTGCAACGCTCCCTATGAGGATTTCAACATCCAGATTAGGCGTGAAGTGGTGGCAAACACTCCGACAATCAACCGCATCACCATGAAACTCGAAGGTGTCGTTGCCGAGCTAACAAAAGATGCTGTCATGGTCGATGGCAACAGGTAAATTCACTCGCAACACTTCTTAGGTATCCACAGGCTTTTTTTCCCCAATCTTGCCAAGTACTTTGGTGTGCCTGGAGGGGGGGGGGGGGGAATTGTGTTCTTTAATAGATCTGACAATTTTACCTAAATAAATAATGAATAAAATGCTATTAATTCCTGTCATGGAAAATAAATCCTCCCCTTGAGGACTGCCTCAAAAATAAAATTTGGATGAAATGTTCTGAGAAGCTGGATCCAAATTTAAATCCATATTTGATAACGCTGGACCATCTCATTTTGTAATTGATTTTCTTTCTCAAAAATATTCCTACAGATGACAGATACCACAAGACTTTCCCTTCTTATCAAATATTTGGATCAGAAGCTAACCAGCATTCTTTCTGCCTTTTCCCAGAGTTCAACTGCCATATAGTCAATCTGGTATTACGATAGAGAAGAGCAGCATTTATGTGAAAGTTGGCAGCAAAATCGGTGTTGTGTTATTGTGGAATGAAAAGGACAGCATTCTGGTAAGAACTGCTCCTGGACCTGTTTACCCCTTCAGAGAACAGAGCTAATCTTTGATTAGGCCTGGCTCTACCTGTTTAGGGGGTTGCTACTGCCCTCTTATCTCCCACTGTTGAGCAATTCTTTCTTAGTAAAGATAGGCTTGTATCCAGGTAGCCCTAAGGAAAATTACATGGATTTATACGTAGTGGATGGTAGGCATCTGCTTAAAACAGGATAAAAAATCACTTTCATTGTATGATTAGCTATTGGTATTATTATAGGGCCTAATTACCCCTTCAAAGATACATTTTTAGCTGAATTTCACTTTCCTATGCCTTCATTTTTTTTTCTGTGGATTTGCTTTTCTTCCTGAAGAATCAGTAAAAAGTGCTAAGAATAGTATAGATAGTACAGTCTACAGATTGAAGTCTGTGTCAATAGTATCAATAGCTTGGACTCTGCAATCAAATCTGAGTTGATTCTTTATTCCACCCTTCATGTTTTAAAAATTCCACAGATCTGACAAGAAATACTAAGAGGCAGCAGGTACAACTGTTTTCTCTGGTTTTGAATATACTTTAGAATATTTATACTAACTTCTATCAACTTATTATTCATCATTTTAGCTGGAATTGAATGAGAAATATGCCAATCAGACTTGTGGACTTTGTGGTGACTTCAATGGCTTTCCCATATACAATGAGTTTATTTCAAACAGTAAGTGTTTTAAATTAAAAAATAAAACAGGTTTATGTAGTCTCCAACAATCTGGCATCATCAGCATTCCTCTTTCCCATCCTGTCAAATGGTTTACCCATAAGATATGATTCGATCTCTATTTAAAAATATGTAGTAGAGAGATCAGATTATGTAAGTTAATGCTCTGAGTGTAAATATAGTACTGGTGCTAACAACTGATTACATGTCTCTTGCTTGCCACGGCTGTAAACCATGCTGGTAAAAGTAATCAGGTAACTCCATAAAAATGAGCAGATTTGCACTTATAAGATAATTAAATATAGAAATATATTCAGTAAAACAAAAGGCAATTATATTTTCTAGACAGTACATTTCTAGTTTCATTTTTGTCTCACAGTCAGTATATCCACATTTCCCTGTTGATTTGCATAATCTTTGTAAGATCTTATCTTTTTCACTATTCCCAGCTTGAGCATTTTCTTAAACCTTGTCTTACAACAATCTCCATTGTCCAAATTCCCGTTTAGATCTTTTTTTTTCCTCTGCCCTGAATAGGCTCAATATAATCTGAAAAGGGTTTGTTATTTTTCTGGGAAAAACCTTAGTGTGCATCTAGATGCAATAGGCTGATAATTGTTTTCCAATATTTCCTTTTTCCAGGGTGCTGTACAAAGTAAATTGAGGTAGTGATGTAGTGCTTCCTTTGGAAGGGGTGATGATCACATTTAAAGGCTTAAGGGAGCTAACTGTCTTGGCCAGCCTTGACCCCAGTCCTTGAGAGAAAAAAATAAATATAACAGGCAGTTGCTTTGAACAAAAACCTCTGATCTGCATTGTTAAACTTCTTTTCTACAGATATTAAGATGACAGCCTTGCAGTTTGGGAATCTGCAGAAAATGGATGGGCCAACAGAACACTGTGAAGATGCCACTTCTGTCCCAACATATAACTGCTCTGATGATCTTGTAAGGATCTTTTGACTATCCTTTTATTTTTCTTTCAAATTTATCTGTTCCCTTCTACAACTTTATATGGGTCAATAGGAAAAGTCCTCAGGCAACAACAACTTAAAGATAGCTATAAGACTATGTTACATAATAATTACAAAAAATAACAATACCATCCCCCCAACTTCTTTCTATTTACTGAGACTTGTCTATTTTTTCCTCCAAAGGATGACATATGCGAGAAAACGCTGACCAGCTCTGCATTTGCCGACTGTAATGACCTAGTTGATATTAAAGACTACATTAAGGCTTGCCAAGATGACTTGTGCAGCTCTGAAGAATCTAAAAACAGCTCATGCATCTGTGACACCATTGCCGAGTACTCCAGGCAGTGTGCTCATGCTGGTGGGCAGCCCCTGGACTGGAGAACTTCAAAACTGTGCCGTGAGTATCCCTGGAGACAGCCTTCCTTCATGCTCAGTAACTCACCAACAGCAGGCTCTCAAATAACACTGAGGATGCAGGAGGAGTTAAAGCCTGTTCGAGATTGAATCCTTTAGAAAATTCTGATGCATAAGTTCCAGCATGAAGACTTCAGCCAAAGAGCAAACTGAATTAAATACTAGCAAAACACTAACATGGATACTCTAATGAGAGTCAAAGTGTAATTTAATGAACCTGTACAGTGAAGGAAGCAAATAAAGGAGAAACAAGAAAGAAGAACAAGGCATACGTACTTGCTTGCTTGTATTCCTGATTCTTTTCCTTATGATGGCTCTAGCATTCGTTGTTCTCAGTTAACTGATTGGACCTTCACAGGTGAATGTCTGACTAATCACCTATTTATCTCCTCTTGCTTGATAGTGATGAATTTGTATTGATTAAACATATACTTGATTATGAGGTAGCTATTGATACTGTCACCAGCTCCAAAATTAAAGTCCATGAGGTGCTATTTGTCCTCCTGATGGTATCTCAAAATGCAAATATACTAAAGCTTTAGGAATTTAGGTCTTACATTTCACTAGCAGTACAGGTGTTCAGAGGGAAGGGAGCCTTCAGTAAAAACAGACCTTGCTGGCTTTCTGAGGTTATTACCTTGCTGTCCACAGAAATCCAGTCATTGAGCCAGTTCAGCACCAGAGTCATGGAATGCACATTTCAACTGTAAAATAGGGATTTAGGTGGTTAAACTTGCAAATTTTGAGAGCTATAGTCAATTGCAGTTTGGTGTGGTTTCTTTTAGGTTTTTTTTGGTTGTTTTTTTTTTTTTTTTTAATCTAGCTTTAAAACTTAAATGGATATAAATGTATAGAGAACTAGAAATACTTTTCACTGAAAAAAAATAATACTCTCTTCCTTTAAATTTCAGCCAAGACGTGTCCTTACAACATGCAGTACCAGGAGTGCAACTCCCCCTGTACTGACACATGCACGAATCCTGAACGATCTCTGTTTTGTGAGGAACACTGTATCGATGGCTGTTTCTGCCCCTCAGGCAAGTCCTTAAGCACTCACATCTCTGATCTCAAAGAACAAGAGCTTACCTGTCGGTTTCATGGGATTTAAGCCTCATATAGTTGTATTTTTCACAGCTGCCAGTGACAAGCATTTGTCATGTGTCAGCTGAGAAAAGATGTCTGAATTAATTGCCAATACACGTGCAATATGCAGAAAGCAGGATAAAAGAACAGCAAAGAGATCAAGACCAATCTTTCAACCAGCCACCTATGTTGGTTGAAAGTCCCTCTTTCAGAGCAAGTGGAATTTAGGAATACAAAGGTTGAATCCTTCCCTCAGCAAACTGACAGTCCTGCTGTCCTCAGCATTGGTGTGTCCACTTACAACTGCAGGTCTCTTGCTAAGAAAATATTTAGGATTTGTAACAAATAAAATGGTGTGTAGGAAATGCCACTTTAATTGATCAAGGTTTTGTCTTTTTTTCTTTTTAATCTAGGGACTGTATTTGATGACATCAACAATTCTGGCTGCATTCCCCAGCAGGAGTGCTCCTGTATTTACAATGGCAAAACCTATGCTACAGGAGCTTCTTTTTCAGAACCATGCCAGACCTGGTAACCTTTGTTTCTTTTCTAACTCACTGTTTCCACTCATATATTTAATGGGTTTAATAGTTTATTATATGCAATTGCATAATTGGTAATTGATATGTGTATTTAACTGACTGCTACATTTCCAAAGCACCCCTAAAGAACATTATTTGTTTTATTTAGCAACAGCCACAACTAGCTTTGCACTCTATCTCATGGTGATCAAAGCAAGGATTTACAATGTTTGGATTTCTCACCAGTCAATTAAAATGCTTCCCCTTTGTTTATTTTGTTCAAACATTTGGAATTCTCCAGGGGAATGAAGCTGCAGTCATTAATGTATTTGCAAATATTTATTTTCTCTGGAGAAAGCAAGGGATGACACAATACAAGCTCAATGTCTCAATTATTAATCCTGTACCTGTGCTCTACCACATCAGCTTTGAAAATAGACATAGTCTGCATCAGGAGCAGATGTGGAGTTACCTTTTCTTATTTATAATACATTTGTATTACAAAAAAACCCCAAACCACCCAGGAGATATTTTAACTTGACATTGTGCTTTATGTTACCTGAAAAAATCCACACAATTATTTATCCAAAACCTGTTTTGGAGAGTTCACCTGTCTAAAGAAGAAAACAATCAGATAAGCAAGGAGAATGGTTACCGGAGAAATTGATTTTAATACGTTTCATCACAAGTTCGCCGTGTTTTTGAAACTCTTAAACCCGTGTGTCAAACCACAGCTTGAAGGGAAAAGCAACAGCAAAGCAGCTGCACCTAACAGCACTGTATGTCCTCCTGTTCTGGATTCCACTGTTACTGATTTCACTTTATTCTTGCAGTACCTGTAATGGGGGCCAGTGGAGCTGCCAAGACAAGTCCTGCCCAGGAACGTGCTCCGTAGTGGGAGGTTCCCACATTTCCACCTATGATACGAAGCACTATGATCACCACGGAGACTGCACCTACGTCCTCTCTAAGGTGGGACTCAGAGGATGCTTCCAGGTCATAAAGCCTCATAGATTTGTAGGAAGAAAACATGGTCTCTATCAACACTTAAGAAACTTAGCACCTCTGACACACAGACATTAAATTCCCTGCCACTTAGCCAGATGTTTGCTATGATGCCATTTCATTGATAATAATTAGATAATTATTAGGATGTCATGCAATTGTGTGTGGCGCTCACTGGAAAATTTCCAGTTCTGTGAGAGTAATTGAAGAGCACTGTCTTTTTAAGAATTTGCCTAGTGTGCAACCTTCAGTACAACTAATCCAGCTCTCTTATTGGGTTGCATAATTTTTTGCCATGTTACTCTATTATGTGGTATTTGGCCAAATGGTACAACTCTAAAAACTACAGTAACTGTTCTTAAAAATAAAGATTATAAAACAGCCTTTTTTTCATTTTCATTGAGTTTAAATACAGAAAAACTTCAAGTTAATTGATGCATTTCACTTAGCTTTTAAATGTTTTTAAACATTTAAAAATAACTCAAAAGAAATGGAAAATTTGGAAATTATTATAATTAAAATATTTAATTACAGACATGTGTAGGTGAAATATTTTGATGTTTTAGGGGCTTTTTCTGTTTGTTGTTTTCTTTCCTTTTTCCCCATCTGCACTATTCAGAAAATGGAAATTAAATGTTGTATGTTACTGTTCACCTAAAACATATTTTATCAGAAATTTTTGTCTAGGATTGATACCAGCTACAGAAAAATGAGAGTTACAATAGAATTTAATAAAACTTAAGAAGTTGTCATGAATAAAACTACCAAATGTGAATATGGATCTCCATCTTGACATCTGTATGAATATAATCAATAAAATCCAGATTCTACATTTCTTGTTCCTAATAATTCAAACAGAGAAAAATTGAATCTTCAGCCAAAGCAGCTCTGGGATTTGTTAAGTTTATATCTTGTCCAGAAAAAGAAATACTTTTTCAGAATTGAGAGAAAATTTTATAGGGAAAGCTTTTTTGCAAATTTTATAGGGAAAACTTCCTGTAATTATTCTTCAGTGAAATAACTTGACTTTTTTTTTTTTCAGGACTGTACAGATGAAAAATTTACCATCCTGGCAGAACTACGCAAGTGTGGCCTGACTGACACTGAGACCTGCCTGAAGTCAGTGACCCTCAACATGAATAAAGGACAAACTGTAAGGATGCAAAATAAGTACAATAAAAATATGGGGAGAAAAGAAACTAGGGCTTAATCAGTCAGGCAGCTGCATTTCTTTGTCAGATTTTCAGCGTATGTATGATGAGTAGATGATATTTTTAATCAAGTGAAAAAAAGTGGATTTTGTTATGAAAATCAGATCAGCCATAAATTTGGCTTTGTGGAATTTCATTAAGAAACATATTGTACTCACAAAGCAGAAAAAAGCTATTTTCTCTGCCAATTAGATGGGAAAAGACCATAAGCTTCAAGGTTAGTAATTGTGATTACAAAAGTTAGTGATGTAATTAATCACTAAGATGTGTTCAAAGAAAATAACATGATGTAATCCCCCAAGAAGCCGAGAAAGTCTCTTTAAAAGTAATTCTTTTCTGGCCGGGAAAATTAGTATAGTGCCCCCAAGAAGCCGAGAAAGTCTCTTTAAAAGTAATTCTTTTCTGGCCGGGAAAATTAGTATAGTGTACAAAGTAGAAATTAGGGGGAGGTAAAATCACAAAGATCTACCTTTTTATTGAATATTGGTTTAATTAATATCACTGGGGTTCTCCTCATTATTTCTCTTTGGACTGTAGTTATTTTTCACACATTGTTGGCATGCTAGAAGGCCAGCCTGGGCTACGTCCAAAGCAGTGTGGCCAGCAGGGTGAGGAAGGGGATTCTTTCCCTCTACCTTGCTCTGGCAAGACTCCCCTGGAGCGCTGCATCCAGCTCTGGGCTCCTGAGAAGAACATGGACTTGTGGGAACAGGTCCAGAGGAGGCCACAGATGAACACATAGGAGGGCCTTTCCTATCAGGAAAGATTTGAGAGAGTTGGGGTTGTTCAGCCTGGAGAAGGGAAAGCTCTGGAGAGACTTTTAGTCCCTAAAATGAGAGCCTTTCTGTCCCTAAAATGGGCCTACAAGAAAGCTGGAGGGGAACTTTTACTAGGGCAGAAGGTCCTATGACAAGGAGGAATGGCTTCAGACTGAAAGAGGGCAGGTTTAGATTAGATATTGGGAAGAAATTCTTTACCATGGGGGTGGTGAAACACTGGGACTGGTTGCTGAGAGAATCTGTGGATGTGCCATCCCTGTAAGTGTCCAGACCAGGTTGGACGGGGCTTTGAGCAACCTGGCCTAGTGGAAGGCGTCCCACAGCAGGGGGGTTGGAACTGGATGACCTTTAATAGTCCCTCCCAGGCCAAACCATTCTATAATTCACAGAGTTGCCTTTTGTTCCTCTTCCTTATCAGATCGTGGAGGTCAAACCTGATGGCGGTGTGTTTGTGAACTCCATCTACACCCAGCTGCCCATTTCAGCAGGTAGATTTTTCCTCTTACAGTAAATTACACAAGTGCTTTTGAAGTAAAGTGGGATGTTTGGTGTCATGCTGGACAAGCACAGGCAAGAGTTCAAACTCTAGCAAACAGAATTTACAGTCTTCTGAAATGATTACTCTCAGATTTACTTCCTTCTCACTGCACCAAAGTGAAGGCAGAAGACATCTCTTTACCTATTTTACTTGTTTTTTTTTCCTACCCCTCTGCTCACACTTGCTTAGAAAGAAATTTTATTTTTGTTTCAATAGCTAAGGATTCCATGTGATATCTCTGACCTCCAGATCTTTATGTCACTTCTGAATTTGCAAAAAAACGCAATAGAAATTTAAAAAGAGCAGCATTGTGTTTTCAGCATTTGGCCTTGTTCAGAAAGTGACTGTTTTGTTTCTCTTGTGTAGCTAATGTCACCATGTTCAGACCTTCCTCATTCTTCATGATCATGGACACAAGCTTTGGCGTCCAGGTTGAAGTGCAGTTCACACCCGTGATGCAAGTGTTTGTGCGTCTGGATGCTTCTTTCAAAAACCAGACTTGTGGTGAGTGAATGAAGTAAAGGACTCCTTGATCAATGTCTTTTTTCATAGCCAGAGCAGTATAAACTTTTCACTGCTTTTCAACAGGTCTCTGTGGAAATTTCAATAACATCCAAACTGACGACTTCAAAGTCATAAGTGGAATAATTGAAGGAACAGCATCAGCATTTGCTAATACATGGAAAACTCAGGCTTCATGCCCTAATATCCAGCAGAGTTTTGAGAATCCTTGTGCACTCAGCATTGATAATGGTGAGTGCTTCTTAAAACTTCTGGTTTGTTTTTTTCTTGTTGCTCATCTCTAAGGAAAACACATTTGTTGGAAAGCAAAGATTAAAAAATAAAAACTTAAATATTTTATAAAAACCGACATCTGAAATCAGAAACAAGTATTCAAAATGAATGCACTGAAGATAAGTAAGGATGTAAAAAAAGAGTGACAGAAGCATAAGTGAAGCAAACTGCAAGGACACTGAAAATAGAATAGATGTCCAAGCTGACAGCTTGGTGTCAGAGAAGTGGATTACAGAAGCATCTCTGGAAACCCTTTAATTAATCTCCTTCAGCAAGTCCTCGTCTTTGGTTTTAGGAACCATGACCCACAAGCTGAGTGAAAAGAGAAAAAATAAAGATAGGAGAAGAAGAGATTTAATGGAATGTCAGAACTGTCTGCACAGGCCAGGGCAAGCATGGGTTTATGACTAACGAAGTACAAAGAGTAATGTGCATTTCTATTGTTTCTTCATTTCACAGAAAAATACGCTCAGCATTGGTGTGGACTTCTCACTGACAGCACAGGACCTTTTGCTGCTTGTCACTATGCAGTGAATCCTGCTGTTTACCACACGGTACTTTGCCCTATTACTTTTCCCTTCAGAAACAATAGAAATAGGGGCTGTTCCAGACATGTCTTAGGCAATACCTGTATCCCCATTGCTGTGCTGCAGAACTTCCTTCTTTCAACATGTGTTTCTCTTTGTGTTGTAACACTACTTTATTTCGGTTGTCAGTCTTGGCTTCAAGATCCTGACTTGTTTGCTGATGAAAAGGCTGCTATTTACTCCCGGATGGTTTTACACATAAGCCTGATAGTGTATTTAAAGGCATGTCAAATGCTTGTTTGAATATCAGTCAATTGTTACCTTATCAGCCTGGCATCTCATTAATAACTGTTTGGAACAGACAGCCCATTACCTAATTACCATCACTTTGCTAGCAACGTGTTGCAAACCACTCTTCTCACTAGAAGTCACCCAGGTGCTGACACCAGTGAAATGGGATATCTGGACTGCACGTTGTGAATAGAGCTTTGGGTGCTATTGTGCAGCATATCCACCAAAAAGGTTCAGAGGACCAAGAAGCTGCAAAATGTGAAACATAATTTAAGACCACTATTTCCTAATTATAACTGCAGTAATTGACTCAATTTTCATTACCTGCATTTTGCCCCGCCAGGAACCTTAGACAAAAACTGGAAAGTGATAAAGCTGTGTTACTGTTGTCTATGAGTGAGCATATCTGAAGAAAGATTAAGAAAAAAGATTTGAAAGATAAAGTTCACTGTTTTTTTAAAGACTGACAATTTTACCAGTGCTTATTTTTCTCTCCATTTTTAGAACTGCATGTTTGACACATGTAACTGTGAAAATAGCGAGGACTGTCTGTGTGCAGCTCTGTCTGCCTATGTGAGAGCTTGTGCTGCAAAAGGAATCCAGCTGCAGGGATGGAGAACTGATGTCTGCAGTAAGTACTCTCCTCATTTCCTAAGAACACACATCAATAAAAATTGCTGATCAGAGATTATTTTCTACTCATTTCTAGACAAATCACTAAGTGATGAGGAAAGGATTTTGTTAAGTGCACTCCTGGAAGTAATTCTCTGCTGTCCGCTTGGAATCAATCCATTGCTGGCAAGAGTGAATATGAATAGAAGGGAGATGTGGTTTGATTATGAAAGGGACTGTTTTTATGGAAGTGCCTCCACCTGTTTCTGTGCAACTTAGAGTTTCACTACAGCTTTACAAGTATCACAAGTTGTTGCAGAGATAATGTGCTGTATTAGAACTAGTAATACTGACCAGAACACTTGCAGATGCATGTCTTTGAAGCTGCATGCTGGGTTCTTGTCTCATTCCTCAAGAGGTTTAGGCATCTTGGCATTGAATGGCAGCAGCAAATGGAGGTTTCCTTCTGAACTTCCATTTGAAAAAATCTTTTCTTCTTTGCATGCATTATTTACTCCACACATACAATAGCTTTTCAGATCAAACTCTGAAATTATTCAGAAATACATTTACATGAAATATGCAACATAAACAGAGGTGTATTGTTTACATGTTATTTCTACTGCCTATGATTTTTAATTTTTCACATGTGAATTAACCCTCTGGAATTAACAATCTATTTTATTTTCCTCTCTCAAGCAAAATACACCACCACATGTCCCAAATCCCTGAGTTACAGCTATACCATCTCTTCCTGCCAACCCACCTGCCGCTCTCTGAGTGAGCCTGATGTCACATGCAATATTAAGTTTGTCCCAGTTGACGGCTGCACCTGTGTAAATGGAACCTACATGGATGAGAGTGGCAAATGTGTGCCTGCTAATGAGTGCCCCTGCTACTACAAAGGATCTCCTATACCATTTGGAGAAGTGGTCCATGAAAATGGGCGTGTATGGTAAGTAATCTTTTTTAAAATATTCAAATAACGTGTATTTTCTCATTAAAGTCTGGAATGTGTAAGATGGTTTCACCCTGAATTTCAAAAGAATGCTCTCTCTTCAATTTCTTCAAGTTCTTTTAACTTTATTTTCAAATTTACAAATGATATATATTCCCCTGAGTTGCAGGATGAGAACAGAGGGCAGAATGGAGCCACTACAATGAAAAGTGATATGGTTAATGACCTGTTACACCATTTAAATACACACAACTCTATGGGGCCAGATGGGGTCCACCCAAGGGCACTGAGGGAGCTGGTGGAAGTTCACAGAGGCACTTTCAATCATTTGTCAGCAGTTTGGTTAACCTTGGAGGTCCTGGTTGACTGGAGGTCAGCAAATGCGATGCCCATTTACAGGGCGGGCCAGAAGCAGGATCTGGTGAACTGCAGCCCTGTCAGCCTGACCTTGGTGCCAGGCAAGGACACAGAGCAGATTGTCTTGAGTGGCACATACAGGGCAAACAGGGGATCAGGCCCAGCCAGCATGGGTTTGGGAAAGGCAGCTGCTACTTAACCTACTTGATCTTCTTATATGACAAGGTGACCTACTTAGTGGATGAGGAAAAGTCTGTGGATATTGTCTGCCTGGACTTTTGTAAAGCTTTTGACATTAGGGAAGTGATTGTCCCCCTGTATTTGGTCCTGGTGAGCTGTACCTCGAATTGTGTGTTCAGTTTTGAGTCTCACAATAAGAAAGGCATTTTGATGCTGGACCATTTCAGAGAAGGACAGCAGAGCTGGTCTGGAGCACAGGTATTATGAAGAACAGCTGAAGGACCTGAGGTTGTTTAACCTGGAGAAAAGGAGGCTCAGCAAAGACACTCACACTCTCTAAAACTGCCTAAAAGGAGTTGTGGTGAGGCGTGAGTCAGGCTCTTCCCCCAAGTACCAAGTGACAGGATGGAAGGAAATGGCCTCAAGTTGCACCGGGGGTTGTTTTGATTGGATGTTAAGAAAAATTTTGTACTGAAATGCTTGTCAAGCACTGGAACACGTTGCCCAGGGAAGTGGTTGAGTCACTATCCCTGCAATTATTTAAAAGTCATGGAGATTTGTCTCTTAGGGACATGGTTTGGTGGTGCACTTGGCAGTGCTGGGTTAATGGTTGGACTTGAGGATCTCAAGGGTCTTTTCCATCCTAAAGGTTTCTAGGATTCTGTAATATTTCTAGATTGATAGGGCAATTGTACTTCGGTGCATTTTTTATTAAATTCCATAATCTTTCAAGTATAAAATTACAACAACAGCAACAAGAGGAGATCTTATGAGAATGTAAGTAACGAGCAATGACAAATATGCATCACAACCTATGAATTTTCCTGCTAAGCCGCAATGGATATCATATGAAAGCAGCATGTGTAGTGGTATTGAGAGAAATTCTTTCCCAAGACTGCAAAACAGGTTTTCAGAATTCCTTTGAAAGTTCTGAAACTTGACAAGGGATAAGTAGCTCTCAATCTCAATATTTGGTTTGAGAGGAGATAATAAAATACATTGTTTTTCCCTCTCTCACAGCACTTGTGTCCAGGGAAGACTGAATTGCATTGGAGCACCAAATCCAACTTCAGGTAAAAACAATCTTCCACTTACTTTTTTCTCTTTACCAGGTCTTGCACAGAATAGTTCATAGAATTGATTCTTCTTAATGGATTTTTAATAGAAGCATTTCTCACTTAGTCATAGTACTACAGTTGTCATAAAAGGCAGGAGTGAACTAGATTACTCATAAAACTCAGAAAACTCATAAAACATAAAACTTATAAAACTCTTTTTACAGAAAGACTTTTTGTTCTGATATATTTTGTGGGGTTTTTTGGGGGGGGAGAGTCCAGTACTCTGTAGTGAATCTTATCAGCAGGTTGAATAGGGACAACAATCTCTGCTAACTGAAACAGGGAATTTCCAAAGAACTTATAAATGGTTTAAATGGCTACAGTGTGAAATAAGCCCTGTGCCACTTCTTTCCTTCCTCTAGTCTGTGAATCTCCCATGGTCTACTTTGACTGTAAAAACAGCACAGCAGGAACAACTGGAGCAGAATGTCAAAAAAGTTGCCAGACTCTGGATATGCAGTGTGTAAGTATGTCATGGCCCAATGAAATGGTGCTTCCAGGTTTGTCTATGCTCTTGCTGCTGAAGTAATTATCTATTGGATCTATTCCAAACCTACAACACAGATACATTGTTCTTGTAGCAGAAGCCCTAAAATGATGTTATGAAGCATTAACAATGGAACCCTTGGATCAAAATAAACTAAGTAATATCCAAATTAATTCTTAAGATTAGTGTCTACCTTTCTTCAGCTACTGCAGGTAACAGTAACTAGTAGTGAAAAATCTAGAGCTCTACTGCTTATTTGCCTTCTGAAGGAAAGGCTAAAAATTGGCTAAGAGAAATGTTTCTTTCTCATACCATGCTGCATCTAATCATGTTACTCCACTTAAGTTCATGGTAGCCACATGCCATTTCATAGTAAGTACCATATGAGATAAATAAATTTCAATATAACTCAGCCAAACTGAAAAAAAATATTACTTGTCTTTCTTTTAAAGTTCCATTCAGTCACAAATCATCCATTACAAAGTGCAAGAGCCAATGTGTTTTAAATTTCACAGGTTCCAGCAGAACAATCAGGATGGGTATACATAAAAAATTTTTCTTTGACAGATTTATATTTTACTAAATCTATGGCTAATAACCTTTTTGTTCTGTTACCCTTTAATTGCTTTACAGTTCTCTCCTATTGAAGTTGGGCAGCAATAAGACTATATAAGGCACCTGTAATGAGAACTAAATCTTCCTTTTTCTAATGTGATCATTTCACTCTAAAATTATGTTTTTCTTTTATCTTTTCCAGTATAGCTCACAATGTACATCTGGCTGCATATGCCCAGATGGGCTTGTGTTAGATGGGAATGGTGGTTGTATTCCTGAAGAGGAATGTCCATGTATTCACAATGAAGCCATGTATCAGCCTGGGGAAAAGATTGACTTCGACTGTAACACCTGGTAAGTATATCTGCAGAAGTAGCATTCCTGGTTCCATCATTTGCTTTTCTAAAGACCTTTTATAGTAAAAGAACAAGGAAAGATTTGGATTCCAAATCTAATCAGTTGATGGATTTTAGATATTTTAGTTTTGGATTATGCAGTATGAGAAGGTTGCCTTCTAATATCTGACAGATGGCCAAAGCACAGAAAGGGAGGAAACCTTTAGGACTGCAGGGTTCATTAAGTATCTAGTTTTGCAGTTAAGGTATTCACGTAGCAGAACAGATTTTTCTTTAATTCTTTGAATGAAAAATGTAAAAGAGTGTTTTATTTCCAGAAAAAAAAATAGCATTTGGGATGGATTGCCAAACAAATATTGATTGTTCAGATATGTCTACACAAAAGAGTAAGTTGTTTTATTATTAAAATATTTAATTCTTTTTTTTCCTAGTGTATGCAAGAATAGGAAGTGGGAGTGTACCAAAGATCAATGTCTGGGCACTTGTGCTGTTTATGGAGATGGTCATTATAACACCTTTGATGACAAAACGTTCAGCTTCAATGGAAACTGTGAATACACACTAGTCCAGGTACTGATAGCTAGCAGTAGCAAATGAGGGGTAATCTTGATCCTATCCTGTAAAAATAATATATTTTTAAATGTTATTCTCTACCCAGGACCACTGTGGCAAAAGTGGCACAGTCAACGGGACCTTCAGGGTTGCCACTGAAAATGTTCCCTGTGGCAACACTGGGACAACTTGCTCAAAGTCTATCAAAGTTTTCTTAGAGGTAAGAAGGTTTTGCACATAGAGCAGTTTTCCATTGTACCTGCTAAGGCTTAGGAGAAGCCTATATTTCTATTGCTTCAAAGAATTTGGAAAATATTTAAAAAACAATTAAACTATTAAATTAGGTTTACATCAGATTCAAGTGAAATATTTGGTAGATCTTCCTACCTTTCTATGTTTTTGACTTCCCACACTATTTTACATCATCCTTGGGAAAAGTAAAGGCCTAAAGGCAGAAATTTAGCCTATTGTGTCAGAAGATCCTTTTATTGTATGCAATGTAGTTTCTCCATGACCGTCAAAAGACACTTTTTTAACCTACACCATTTAAATATCTGTTACCACACTTCCAGGAACCTGAGATTTGAATTAGATTGCTTTGATTCATTGCATTTTGATTATTTGTTTTCATCATATAAACTGTTTATTCATAGTACTCTTAAATGCAGATAAAACATGTTTGAGAGCATAGCTGCAGCTACTGAGCTCATTTCTCCTTACCTTTTCCTCCTGTTTCAGAGCTATGAACTGATCCTTGGCGAAGAGCGTGTCAGTGTCGTAAAGAGAGGGCAGAATGACGAGGTGCCATACACAGTCCGCTATATGGGGATGTACCTGGTAATTGAGACCAAAAGTGGGCTGATCCTCATGTGGGACAAGAAAACCAGCATCTTCATCAAGCTCAGCCCTCGTTTCAAGGTGCGGAACTAGCAGCTCAATGGCCATTTACTGTCCTGCTTTGAATGGGTGTGAATCTTGTTGAGACCCTGCCAAGACCCCAAACAGTGATGGTCTCTAGCATTCCTGCTGTCCATCCCACATTGCTTTCCATTCCTCTGGTACCTCAGGATGCTGTGTCATCATCCTGCTGCCATCATTCTGAGCTTGGAAGGTAGCTTCCAGTGCCTATTTGGCCTGATAGAACTTGAGTTGGCCAAACGCTATTTTGGACTTGACTTTGTTGAAATTACAAACTGAACATTTTTACAGGTTATCAGACTTATTAAAATTACATAACTACCTGTGTATAAATCAACTGAATAGGCTTGATCTTGAAAATAATCCATTGTTTCCAGTTCTCATTGACACACAAATTATCACACTTCAAGAAAAAGGAAGTGTATAATGAGTGAAAGCCTCTTTTATGCCACCAAGTATTTGTCAAGCATATAACTACACAGATGAAAATGAATTCCAATTTTCATACTCCTCTTAGCTTATGATATATAAGCACTAAAAACTGTAGTAAATACAGAATTTTCTATCTTGCTGCATATCACAATGACATTTAAATTAGGTATTTAAGTGAAGTATAATTTAGAACCAACTTCTTTCAGTACCATAGGTTCTTTCCCTGAATCACTCACCAGCACTTTTAAAAAATAATAGTAATATGGAAAGTATGCACCTTAGTTTCATAGAAAAAGCATGTATTGTAGCGTCTCACAGTTGTACTGATCCATACATTTGGAATGAGTGATATTTCTGGATGCACAAGGAAAATGTAATTTATTTCTATACCAGTGAGCAGACTTAATGGTAAAGACTCAATTAATAGATTAGGTGGCTGAACTGTTAGTACTTAATAGTTAGAAGGTTGTTTTTATATGCATAGCTATTGAAAAAAACAAGGCTTAAGTGAAAAGCTTAATCAGCTGCAAGTCCCCACTTCCTTGTTAAAAATACACCTCAAAGACAGAAGGTTATGACTACAAAGATGGTTTTATTGTTCATATATAAAAGAAAAAAGTTAACAACAGTATCCTTCTAGATATAGTGGTCATATTCTGTTCCTCTGTTCCAGAGTATGAAGATGTTTAGGACTGATAGAATGGAATGCCACTATTCTAAGAGATGAATTTCAAGTATTCTTTCAGTCTCAGATTTTGTTTCAAGTTTTCTCACATCCATTATTCTTTTATTTATGTCTTTTGCAGGGCCAGGTCTGTGGTCTCTGTGGAAATTATGATGGCAACAGCGTCAATGACTTTACTACAAGGAGTCAATCTGTAGTAGAGAATGTCCTAGAGTTTGGAAACAGCTGGAAAGTATCCTCTACGTGCCCTGATGCTGCCAGTGTCAAGGACCCATGTTCTACCAACCCTTATCGGAAGTCCTGGTCAGAGAAGCAGTGTAGCATCATCAACAGCAATGTCTTTGCTGCCTGTCACTCTCAGGTATTACCAGGGCAGACGTTTACTGTGGGAAAACTAAGCCTGTGGGTTGATGAAGGTGCTATTCTCATAGGTTTTAACATGCATGCCTTGTTTATCAATATGTTTCGCTTCAAATTGTGCCAGGAAAACTCCAGTCTGAATCGCCCTCAATGGGACAGATTTATAGTTCCTACTTGTAAGAAGTAAAAAGGCATTTAAAAAAGAAAAATAACAACAAAATAATAATTTCATAATCACTATGAATTTTCTTGCAGCCTGACTTGAATAAAAATTCTCATATACCAGGTAGAGAAGGCAAGCTCAATGAAATAATAACACAGGAATGAAATATCAGCATAACCTTTACCTGACACTAAGTACATAACAAATGTTGTCAGGTAACTGTGCAGTTGCCTAATATTTTTTTTTTTAATTAATCTAATCTTACACCAGGATACAAGTCTAGGTTTCTAAAAATCTGGCAATACATGATTTGGACATATCATTTGGCATCACCTCAGGTGTCTTACAGTGTTTAACAAAAGAAAAATAAATGACCAATGTAGGCCTTTCCTCTGGGGTACTACAATTGTAAGAAAACTACTCTAGCAAAGGTAAGAAATCACTTAGAAGTCAGGATGCATAATATTATATTTCCTGTAATAACAGGTTGAACCAGCAAAATATTACCAAGCATGTGTGACAGATGCTTGTGCCTGTGACACTGGAGGAGACTGTGATTGCTTTTGTACAGCAGTAGCTGCCTATGCTCAAGCATGCAGTGAAGTTGGTGTATGCGTAGCCTGGAGAAGCCCAACAATTTGTCGTAAGTTTTATGTCATAAACCTTTCTCAAAGTGCAGCTAAGTGTACAGTATCTTACATATGTGCATTAATATCTATCTCACTGTGTCAATTTTTCATGCTTAAGCTCTTTGATCTTTTTTTTTTTCTTTCCCTGAGTATGTTCAACTTTCTGTTTCTCCTCAGCACTGTTCTGTGATTACTACAATCAGCAAGGAGAATGTGAATGGCACTATAAGCCTTGTGGTGCTTCCTGTATGAAGACCTGTAAGAACCCAAGTGGAAAATGTCTCAATGACCTGCCAGGTTTAGAAGGTAAATATAGCTGCAAGTACCTCCTAGTGGATACATATTGCTATACTTTAAATTGTCTGTGAAGAAGTATATTCCCTCCATCAACTGCATTTGCACAATTGAATTTTCTCTAGTATCATTACATCCACATGAATGGAAACAGATTATGGAAACTGGAATAAGATCTCTAGGACTAAGTTCTTATGGATGGGTTCTGATGATGCTAGTAACTCTGCATTTCTTCCTAGAGCTATTCCAAAACATAAAGTAGAAACATGATGACAATTAAAAACAAGACCTGCAAATGCATTTGGTGCAAATAAAACCTTTGCTGACTGCATCTCATTCTTATCTTTTCCACCTTCAGGCTGCTACCCTAACTGCCCACCAGACAAGCCATATTTTCATGAGGATCAGATGAAGTGTGTTAGTCTCTGTGATTGTTATGATGATGAAGATGGAAAGATATACCAGCGAGATGAATGTAGTATATGGTAAGACTTAACATACCAACCTCATCTTATACAAGGAAAAATGATCAAAACTCAAGGGGGAATTTGTATGTTCCTGTTACATGCAAGATCAGTTCATGCTACCTGTGATGAAATAATGCCTTACAACCTAATGCCAGTTTTCCTACTACATTAATAAGAAGGTTTTACATGATGTTATGTTTTTATGAATTTATTTTTGATTATATTGTAAATCCTCAGCATTAAGATGCATCAAGAACAAGAAGTCCTTTATGACTAGGCTGTCTTTATTTCACATTCCTGTGGCAGGAAAAATGTTGTGCCATGAGTAAAGATATTTATTGGTGGCTTGCATCCAAGGATTTTGCAACATACTTGCATTATTTGAGCATAGAGACTCAGCCTTTTAGCCTTCTATTTTAGTACAAAAATACTGCAAACGCAAGGAAAGTGATACTAAGGAAAAAAGGAAAGTCTGCCTTAAGACTTCTACCCATAATTTTTCATAATATTTAACTTCACTCCTGTTTATATGTTTGGGTTTAATATAAAGGAAGGTTTTGGAAAATAATGGCCAAAAAGGAGCCAAAATGAACAGAAAGCTCTAGGAATAAATACAAAAGTGCCTTGCCTTTTGATGCCAGTATCTTTCAGAAAGATGACTAATAAAATTACATCACAATCACAAAATATATGGGTTTTTATGCTTTCTGTTTCAGTGAGTGCACATCAGAAGGTTTACAGTGCAAGTTCGATGATAAAGGTAAGACAGCTAAGAAAAATTATTTAGAAAAAGAAGTATTGGATGCTGTCTTTTCATAGATGTCTGAACTGACAATAAACTTCTGAATTACAGCCTGCAACTGCATTTATGAAGGGAATAGCTATAAATATGGTGAACTCATCTACAACACCACAGATGGAACTGGATGGTGTTTCAGTGCAACATGCGATGTCAATGGAACAATAAGCAGAAACATCTTTAAATGTGGCATTTTTACAACAACCCCATTTACATTTTCCACAAGTCAGCCCACAACTACTGCTTCAGGTATGCATAAATAATCTTTAAAATAATTCCAAAATCTCTGTAAGTGACTAAAAATTACCTGAAAGGCAGGACCTTTTCTTCAGTTAATGGTATATAATTTTACTTGAAACTATTGACTTCTACTGGAGCTGCCAATTCACCTGGCAGCTTCAGTTGAAAAAGAATAGTTAAGGATGTAGAAATGAATACACCATTTCTTACAAACTCAGTTTCCTCTGTTTTACCATGGTGATCCTTAGGGAAAAATTAATAGAGTTAATTAATCACTGCAACCTGGAGAATCTTCTAATTTCCTTGCAAAAACCCCCAGCAGTTCTAGACCAGCTTCTGAAAACATGAAAGTTGCTGCCATTTCTTAAATTATTGAGCACATAAGAAATTTATTTTGAAGGAGTCTTTAAACTATTTATAACCATTCTTTGGAATCTTTCCTAATTCTGTTTAATACCCAAATCAACAGTTTCCTTCTACTCCTGGACTACACTGCTATATTATTCCTGCTGTTAATTAATTACAGTGACCAAATTCTGAGTAATTGTGAGAAACATGTCCACAAAATTATACTACAGCAAGAACTAAATATTCAAATTTAAGTCTTCTGTTAAGTAACATTCATATTGAGAAAGTAATATCTATTACACATGGTTATCTTCATAATGCCAGGAATATGAAGTCTTATTAAAATACATATAAAATACCTTTTACCTATTAGATTATATATTTCATATATAGTATATGTGTATTCTCTATTATAATGTACTACATATAAAATACACATATGTTAAGTATATATTTTATATTTATAAATATGTTACATGTGGTAATATTGAATTAAGTAGAAAAGTCATTAACTAGTCAAAATATTTTAAAGTCTGTGAGGTTATGCAGTTATGTGTAAATAAATACAGAGATAATACCAAAGAAATAAAACCTCCTCTACTTATACCAAAGCAATTGTGAGACATATTATCTAAGCAGTAACATACTGTGCAAAGGATATCAGATTATCTATATTAAGCTACAAATCTTTAATAGATGTCAAAGAAACTACCTCTACAATAATAAGGCAAAAAGTCAAAACCTACTTTAGAAATTAAATTTGAGACTGCCAAAGCAAGTTCATTAAAATTAAAATATTACATAATATTAAAAATATTTACAACAATAAAAAAGCATGGAAGATGAATAATTTCTTCCTGGAACTCTAATAAGGACAGACAAGACTTATGTTTCCTCCTTTCAATTACAGAAATTACAACTGCAACACCAGTGACAACTGTATGTGTGAAAAATGTCTGTGTGTGGTCAGAATGGTATGATTCCACTCAGCCTGAAAACAAAGAGGACAGTGGAGATTATGAAACATATCAAAATCTCAAGGATAAAGGGTACAGTGTCTGTACAAACCCAAGCGATGTTCAATGCAGAGCCAAAGAATACCCAGATACTGAAATTACCAACCTTAACCAAACAATAGAGTGTAGTCAAAGCAGAGGATTAATATGCAATAACCAGGACCAAGAATCCAAGCAGTGCTATAATTATGAAATCAGAATCTCATGCTGCAGATACATACCATGTTCAGAAGCACAAACTACAACACCCACAACCACAAGAGAATTCACAACTACTGCTGTAGAATCAACACCATTTACAGTACAGACAACAATAATACCAACAAAACAAAAACAAGAAAGTGAAGTAACAACAACACCAATGAGAGAACGAGACAGAACGACTCCTCAGAGTGAAACATCAGTAACAGCAACGACAACCCAAGTCTCAACAACAAGATACCAAATCACAACCTCGACAGGAGGAACCTCCACTGTGGTAACCCAAGCTCCATCATCACCCAGTACTATCTCCACTCTCCCAGGATCAACACTACAAACAACACCTGGCACCACAATAACCGCCAGTACTACTGCCCTGCCAACACAAGGCACGACTATCACTACACCTGGACCAAGAGTACCAACCCAAGGTACCACCAGTGCCAGCACCACCACAACTACCGGGGAAAGGAGCACTCTATCTACAGAAGGAACTCTTCCAACAGTATTATCCACTGTTGCTATTCAAACATCAACAATTGCTGCCTCCACCCCTGAAATAAAAATAAAAACCACAATCGGTACCACAGCTGGCCCCAGCACCACAGGCTCAGCCACCGAGGAAACAACCATCATCACTACCACCACCAGCACCTCTCCCCCTCAGACTGAAGGTACAACCATCATCATCCCAACAACAAGAGAGCCCATACCAGCCACCAGCACTGCCAGCACCTCCAGGACTACAGAGAGAAGTACCACAAGAGCCTCTGCCACCTCTGCTCCAGGAGAAACCACCACTGTGGCAACCCAGGCTACAACATCTCCCACAACACCCTCTGAAGTTAAAATAAGAACCACCACAGGAACCACAGCTGGCCTCAGCGCAACCATCACCACCCCACCCACAACAACTGGGCCCACGCCAGCCACCACCACAATCCGCATCTCCAATAGCACAGACAACTGCGTGGTGGAGCACTGTGCCTGGACACAGTGGTTTAATGTGGACTCCCCTACTCCAGGCAGCGAAAATGGAGATTCAGAGACATTTGAAAACATCAGAGCTGCTGGGTATGAGTTGTGTGACAAGCCTCAAGACATCAAGTGTCGAGCTAAAGACTACCCTGACTCAATTGTAAAAATAATGGAACAGAAATTTGAGTGCAGCCTTGACAGGGGGCTTGTGTGCAGAAATAAAGACCAAACTCTCAAGTACCCCACGTGCTTTGACTACGAGGTCTCAGTGCTGTGCTGTGACCGAAAACACTGCCAGACAACAGTACCAACTGCAGCAACCACTGTAAGCACCTCCACAACACACATCCCAGCAGAAACCACCACAATAGCAACACGACCTGCAGCAACACCAACTGCTGTCCACACACTTCCACAGCAAGTAATAACAACCACCGTAGGAACAACAAGTACCCTCTCACCACAAGGAACCACCATCATCACCCCAAGATACACAGAGCCGATGAAATTAAAAACCACAACAGGCAACACAGCTGTCCCAAGTACCACGGGCTCAGCTGGAGAGGGAACAACCATCATCTCTATGACCACCAGCACATCACCCCCTCAGACTGAAGGTACAACCACCATCATCCCAACAACAACAAGAGAGCCTACACCAGCCACCAGCACTGCCAGCACTTCCAGGACCACTGCAGGAAGCACCACAAGAGCCTCTGCCACATCTGTTCCTGGAGAAAATTCCACTGCATCAACCCAGGTTACCACACTTCTCACAACAACGTCCAGAGTTAAAATAAGAACCACCACAGCTGGCCCCAGCACCACGGGCTCAGCTGG